TGGTTAGATCCACCAGGACCTCCATTCCTCTACCACCCTAATGTAGCTTATAGCTAGAAATAGGTCTTTTGACTAGCTTTTCAAACACCCTTTAAACAAGGGGGGTCAGAACACACAGTTAACGTTGAAAAGCATTGCAAAGAAAGAGCAGGCCTTCATACTTTTTTTAACTTGGTTGTGTAAGCTACGGGTTTTGGGTCTTAGCGCGATATAAAGAGATGGTATTAAAAAAATAGTATGTGAGATTCATCTTATACGTTATTTGTTTGATATTTTATAATCAGTATTATTTTTTGGGTCGTAATACCAACCCGCTATGAATAGTAGTCATAATGCCTAGTAGAAGATCTTAATGAATACCACCTAGGAGGTGATATTATATTTTTGGTATAGGTATTATAAACTAAAAAGACCGAAATGTCCTCCAATACAATTCCCATACAAAAGCCTAGCAGCAATTTTTGACTTTTTAAAGATTAAAATTGTCTTTTATATTTGTTAGCTGCAATTATTGATTTTTTTAAGTAGGTATTACAGAGATAATATTTGTGATAAACAAACAACAAGAAGGATGAGATTATAGTTTAACACCGGGTATAATATACTATTGAATTTGAGTAGAATGAATATAAAACCTTATACCACATAAAATTTATACTCGAAACAAACATACCCTACGAGGAAGCATACCTTTACTAAAGAGATACATGTCCTCTTATTTAAACAGATTACTTTAAAATTAGTATGACTATGCTTTAAAGTTTAATTCAGAGATTTATATCTGTAGTTAATTAGATCTCTAAATTAAGTCTAAATATTATTTTTTAATGAAAAACTAAATTGTACAATCCAGATATTTTCGAGGGCTCGATAAAATCATGTTTGACTTGATAGAAAGTTGAAAGGTAGGTTAATGCTAATTCGACGAAAGTACCTTCTCTCATGACGATGATAGTGACAGTAACAGTTGTAATAACAATAGTGGTGATAGTCGTATTGTAGTGGTAGTGACGAAAGCAGTCCAATGGTGATGCAATATGAATAGTCACAAAAAGTTTAATCTGTTGGTTATCTATTGCTCACTTATATATACTCGTTTAATTAATTGAATTGATATTTTCAGCTCGCTGGTAATTCCTTCAATGTGAAAATTAAAAAAAAAATCTACAAATTTAGAGGCGATTAGATAAATAGGTTGATTTTTGGGGTCACAATTATCAAGTTTGCATGTGATGGGTGTATGCTTATAAAAGATGCTTTTTAGATAGATGTGCATGTTTATGAGTCTGAAGAAAAAATTATTGGAAAAGGGGTGTCTTTAATGCTAATCCTCATCCGCCCAATCCAAAGATATTATTAAAGTAAACACTTTTACAAAGCTTTTAATACTGTTCTCCCTTTCTTAAATGAATAAAGAGGTATGCAGTCATTATAAATCTAGAAACTAAGTTGCCTTGTCAGCCTTCAATTAACATTTACTGTGAAGTGAGGGTAATTCTTCATTGAGAAAGTTCAACGGGAGGCTATGAGCAGATGTGTTAATCAAGACGGACTATTCGTAGTTGATTCGGGTTCGATTCAAATAAAATTTGACTTGACTCGCGTTTTAAACGAGTTAAATTTGTATAATTTTTTAAACTAGTTTAAAAAACAGAGTCTAAAAAATTCGGTTTAAGATCACTAAATTTGGTCTATTTACGTGTAAAATAGTTGAGCTATTCGGACTCGGACTCGACTCGAGTTCTAAATGAACTGAGGTTGAACAATTTTTTAGGATCATTTAAAAAAACAAGCTCGCTAGGATCGGGCTCAAACTTACAAAATTCGACTCGATTAACACCCTTAATTATGAAAAATTTACCTTTCATGAATTTCTTAATTTTAGCGTAGATGTCGTGTCTTTAATTGAATCGGGGAGTAGACTAGTAAGGTACGCACAAGTTGATCTAAACAACTCTTATCGTTATACTAAAAAAAAAATCTATTTTATAGTAAAATGAATTTTTTAGACTTTCAAATTTTATGTTGCATTATACTTTTGGATAATAAAATATCACATTCTTATTTGACCAAAAAAACCATATGTACTAACAAAAAATAATTGGCAGACTCCACATGGTGCCGGTGGTTAGGATACTTTTATGAATTCATGAATGGTTCGATCTGTTCGTGGCTTGGGAAAGCTCTTCTCAAAATCCCAGTTCTGACTGTAATGTGGGTCATTGCTCAATTATCTGTGATATCAAGGGCTGAGATTAATCCATGACTTTGAAAGTCAAACCTTTTCGAAGATCTAACCCCACTCAATAAATGTGGTGGTCCCCTTTATATGCATGTTTGCAGGTGACTTCAATACTGCAATTGGCCAATTAGGTTGAGTCGGAGGAGAGTTGCAGCAGTCCTTTTACGTCTGGAGAAAGCAAAGTGGGCCCAAACATTTAGCCCAATGGGTCCAATCCTCGACCCGAAGGACTCGAAACAAACTTCTCTCTATTTACGGCCTATTAATTTGTAGAACTTACGAGTTAACTTTTTCAAAAAATTGTTGAAGGGGGTAATATCAACACCATGTATAAAATAGCTAAAGGAAGGATTTCAAAGTACATTTGACGCTAATGTAAAAGTTTGAACCAGGGCATAAGGTGAATAAGAGATTAAATAGGACCATTTGGAGAGATATAATGTATTTGGTCGAGTTAAAGTAGATTCGATCGAACAGAGAATAAGATTCAACCAAGTAAATAGATAGATTATCTCAACTGAGCTAAAATGGGTTCGATCGAGCAAATAGCAAGACTATGTTGGTCATGTTAAAGTAGGTTCAGCTAAGTAAAGGATAAGATTCAATCGAGCAAATATTTAAACTATCTCAAAAAATTTAAACACATAATTAACGCGTAAAAAAATTGCTTGAATCATAGGAACACATAATTAGCACGTGACTTAAAAAATTTGACTAATGAGAAAGAAAAAACTCTAAGGTTCAAATAGAAGCTCTGCTTGAAATTTAGGTATGCCACCATATTTTAATTAGCATTTTAGTTTTAAATAATCAGAATGGGCTCCCTATAAATACCAAGTAAAGCTTTAGACTAAGGTAATCACACTTTCTCCCATGAATTGTTTCTCCTCTCTTGTGTCATTGTTGACTTAAACATTTGAATACCTCTGACTGTTATTCCATCGATCTACGATAATTTTTCATTTTGTAAGTTAGAGACGATCTTGAGTACTCACCCTACAATAAATCTCTTTATTCTAAAAGTTGTGAATTTTTCTCCCTTCAACTGTCATATGGTGTTATACGCACAAAATAATTTTCTTGCTATGAAAATAGGAAAAGGACTATGGTAGGAAACACAAATTTTGGTACCCTATCGTAAAATGTTTTTTCTTTTTTATAAATTTTGAGAATTATTTTGAATATTTAAATATATTTTTAAATTGATCTTAAAAATATTAGAATCAATTCTAAAATGTTATGATTGATCCTAACAAATTTGGATTGTCTCAATTGCCCAAAAAAATTATAAATAACTCCTTAAAAAAGTTTTAACTTGAACCCTAAATGGTACAACATGATCTAAAAAGTTGAACTTTTTTGTTATAAAAATATCAAAAAATTTATATCTCAACTCACTAAATTTATAAAACTTTGTTGTTGTCCCATGACCAATTCACAAGGATTCATTCCGGTAGCATAAAATTTGTGCGAGTTGTAACAAAATTAGACAGTTTTCATCAATTTCACCCAAATTTTTTAACTTTTAATGACATAGAGCAGCCATCGATATCGAGATAGTTACAGTTTAATACAGATGTCAATACAACATTGACTCTCGTACAAGGGAAACTATGAGCAACTTATGGGGCAGTCTAACTTGTCCGAGCTATAAATACTCACATAACTTGTCCACTGCAGAACATACTTTTATTTGATCTAAGATAAATATCCTAATTGGTGAGAGCATTTACCCTCTCCACCTATTCTTCGCCCACATAATTTTTTTTTTTTTTTTGCTAAATAAAATTTAGATTAAGGAAATAACGATTACAAAAAAATATAATTAAGCATTGAGATCTGACATGCCCCCAAAGGCCATTTAGGATAACGAACACACCTTAAGTAGACAATTTATAAAGAAAAGAAAGAACTTTGAACCCATAATTCAAGGGGCTAGGCAAACCATGTACCATATATGTCTGTTTCACCCGCCTTTCGTTCGTTAGTCCCTCCGTTAATAGGCTGTAGGATTTATCTTATTCATTCCTTTGTTTAAAGTTGTCTGGAGACAAGTTAAGGCAGGGGCCTGCTGGACTTGTGTCTCATGAGATTGGGGGAGAGAATTGGAAAGGGGTTTCTAAATAGGGTGGGCGGGATTTTGGGCACAGAAAAAGGGAAAATAAGTAGAGGGTGGGGTCACTATACTATATTAACTAGCCCGAGTCATACTACATGGCTGAACGCCTTTGCATAGTCATCCTTTTTTAATCACTCAATTACAAATTTAATAGACATAAGTAATTACTCCAATAGATCGGATACATTCTCATTGTTTTAATGTGAAAAAGTAAGAGCAAGAATTGAACCCACCCTAATTATTCTGGAAATAATAGTAAATTAAGGAAGAAATTAGTAACCAATAATAAAGATAAAATTATGTATTAAGAGAACGATAATTGGCGCAGAAACTCCAATAAATGAACAAGCAGGTGCAGTAGTGCAGGTCTGGTAGTCACATGACTATTCTGTAAGCACGAATTCTCACGCAGACACGTATTAAAGGCTCAGCGCGCTGCACTCTACTCTCTTTCTCTCTCTCGCTCCTTTGCTGGTAAAAAAGGTTTACCCTTCTGCTTTCCCTACCTATCACCTTGTCCGTTTTGTACTGTCTCACCCTCCATTAAACTCTCTCTCTCTCTCTCTCCTTTTAACCCCTTCTTTACTTCTTTATCTGAAATCTGAAGAAGCCACAGCTTGTATACTGGCTCTCCCAACCATGGAGGCTTTTAGCTTACTCAAATACTGGCGAGGCGGTGGTGGTAATGGTGGCGGAGGTGGTACTGTTTTCGCCACTGACGCCACCACTAATGCGCGCACCACCAAAGCCTGCGCTACAACAACCATAGTCACGGCCGTCAGTCCTCAAACATCAGAGACTGACACCGACGACGATGGACCATTTTTTGACTTGGAATTCGCCGTACCAGACGAGGAGGAGGAGGAGGATGACGAAGAAGACAAAATAATGAAAAGTGAGGAAATTGATGGCATTAATTGCGAAGAAGATGATGACGATAATGAAGAAAAAGACGAGGAAGATATGGATTCTGAAGCATCCGACGGTGAAAGTGAGGAAGAGTTTAAGTTCACATTGTCATCTGGTTCGAGCGCTAACTGTACGGAGCCGAATGTCTCGTTGTCTCCTTCCGATGATCTCTTCTTCAAAGGACGAGGACGCCTCGTTCCAGTCGAGCCTTTGAACGGCTCAGAATCTAACTCGAAGTCGCAATTTCCTGCGTCCTTGTTAAGATCGGCTACGAAATTACGAGTTTCTTTCCTAATGTTGAAGTTGAAGAAATCGAAACCGAATGCACCTGAAAAAACACAAGGTAATGGATCTGTTTCAGAGAGTTCTAAACCACAAGAGAGTCAAAAATTGGAAAATCAGCAAGAAAAGCAAAACCAAACGAACAGCAAGTTCTTCACGGTGAAGTTTAAGGTGGAAGAAGTTCCGATTATGTCTCTGTTTACCAGAGATAGTAGCTCAAAAGGTGCTAATAACAAAGCGCAGAAGCAGAACTTGGAGGAAACAGCTTCAGATGACAAGCGATTTTCGAAAGATGTAGTGCAAAAGTACTTAAAAATGGTTAAGCCTCTTTACGTTCGCGTTTCGAAGCGATACGGTGACAAACTGAGATTCTCGGGGCAATTAAGCTTATCCGGGGTGACAAAAGCCACGGCAGCGGAGAAATCGCCTCCGGCACCGAAATGCGACTCGGAAGTTACAGAAGTGGCGGATCCGACGAGTATTGTGAAGAATCAGAAGCAGGGGAACTTGCCGGCAGGGCTTCGGGTGGTGCGTAAGCATTTAGGAAAGAGCCGATCGTCTTCATCGGCGGTAGCAGCTGCTCCATCGGGGCCGATTTCGTCAAAACGACGTGACGATTCGTTGTTGCAGCAACAGGATGGAATCCAAAGCGCCATTCTGCACTGCAAGAGATCATTCAATGCTTCCAGAGGTACGTTTAAACAATTGAATCACTATATTTTTTGATCTTTGAAGGCTTAAACATGTGATTTCTTCTCTATAAAACTCTGAGTTTGAGAGGTTGCTAGGACCGCCCACATTATTTCTCCATTATACTCTTAACAAATTTTATATTTCTTTTGGTGGTTTTTAGATTCAGAATCGTCGATTTTATCGCGTTCAGTCAGCGATCCATCGCATGAGAAATGTGGGGGTTTGTCAAAAAATTCATCTTCTGGGGAAGGGAAAGAGAAGACTTGGGTTGCATTTGAGAGTACCATAGAAAGCCGGAAAAGTGCTCAAAGTGGAAAAAGCACTACTACTATGTTGTGATCTTTTCGGTCTTTCTTTGATATGAGAGATTCAACCGTGGCAATTACTAAGAAATGAGTTATCAATTATCACTCTAGCTTTGTTCTTTGTAAAATATTCAGAAACAAAAAAAAAAAAAATCCAGGGAGAGAGAGAGGGTGTAGTGTAGGGTAGGGTAGGGTCAAATATGAGAGATAATGACTGGTGAGTGGTAGCTGAAAACTTGCTCCATGTCTGTAAAGCTGATCTTTTTCTGTGAAAATGAAAGAAGATTCAGGACTTTGTATGTACATGTATAATCATAATCACTGTGACTTCTTGATGGTGCCTTTCCTTGGTGATTAATATGGCATTTACTATGCATCTTAAAGATTACAAATAAAATTCCTTGTTTGGGTGGCAACCAGAATGAGTTTTGCACTGTCTTGAGGTTTAGAATTTGAATTTTAGTAATTTTTTGGAATTAAGTTATAATGAATTTATTTTTTTTCATAAATATTTTAATTCGGTCGTTAATGATTTTTTTTAATTGAATTAAAAAAAATTAGTCAAATTACATGTTTATAAAAAAATTACAAATAAGGCTTGCTTAAATCCAATCCTTATTTCATTATCCCATTGTTTGGTGTGTTCTGATTTGGATTTGTATGTGGTGGGTGGGACATGGTATCTTTGAGTTTAAAAAAAGCTTGGGTGAAATGGTGTCTTTAGTGGTCAGCGAACTGGGTAAAGTGGGGACAAGCGCCGGAACAGTAAAAAACATCTTTCCGTCATTTTTTCTTTTGTTTCCACAGAGGAGAGAAAAACGAGGAGTGAAGGAGAGAGAGAAGGACCCATGTTTTGGACTTTTGTATGTTTGGTATGGTCTACTTCATCTCGAAAATGGCGAATTCATTGATGTTGATAATGAGAATTGATAATACATGAGAGATTCAATTTGTCTCCTTGTGACAACAGGCTTAGAGGCTTAAAATGCTCTGCTACAGACACTCAATATTTTTCTCCTCCCTACAGTGACCCTTCGGCCTTCACCTTCCCTTACCTCTCTGCAGGTTGTGAAGTTTTGTCATTTTGATTGATTTCCTCCATTCGTATTTGGAATTAAAATACTCGATAAATAGAGTTATCATACCGGAAAAAGTGATTAATTAATATTATATTAAAAATAATTTATAATTATTAATCTTAATTTAATTCATATATAACGATTGATCGTAAAAATACTGTTTGTAAGTTGAATTGTTGGATCTTACTCCATAAACATCTTAAACGGCTGTCACAACCTTCCAAATTCAACCACCGAACGGGACGGGGCGGTTCAGTGAGATATCGATCAAATTTCTCACATTGAAAATTGTTATGTTAACTTAGGTTCGTTCTCGAAAAGTGTAACAGACACGGTCAGGTGTTTTATGATTCTACCGTGAAGGTCAATCGGGATAGTTTTTTGGTGTTCTCTTTTGCTCTTATCCCATTTTTTTCGGTAGTAAAAAAAAAAATCTCGTGTTGCGATTTAAGTATTTCCACATTTTAGCATATTTGTTATGGGAAGACATAATAAAGAAGTTGTTAGAGAACATTTTCTAATAATAAAGTTGGAAATAATAACAATAGTCTCGGATTTTTGAAGTAGAATAAGTATATCGGTGACACTACGTTTGGATAGTTGTTACCGCTATTATATTTAATATTTTCTCATATAAGTAGTAGGTACATAACGTGCATGAGATTGACCAAGCACGTTATAAGCCCAATGTTCACTTAGAACACAACCAAGACTATGATTCAATGTATATTATGATTAAAAATTGTTTACTACCAAACCCCCCCTCCTCCTTTTTATTTACCAAATAACTAACTTGTTTTGTTCTATCTGGAAAAGAGAAACAATATTAAGTACCCAATTATCCCTTGACATCTAATTATGAACATAATGATCTCTCTAGGCAATTCAAACCTATAGAAGTAAGATCAGCTGATCTTATCAACATCCCACTCTAAGGTCAACCCATTTTGTGTAGACAATTTGTTTTTTAGTTGAACGATGAGGGTATGATTTAGTTTATGTGCATTTCGATTAATTTTTATTTTTTTTAATTTGGTCAACAGTATGTGATTCACGTCGAAATTAAGATATTTTCAAATTCAGAATTTTTGAATTTACAGTTCGTTTCTGTTATCACTTGAACTATTCATTGAAGTTTAATTTGTCTCCAAAATCTTAAGACATTTTTACCCCTTTGACACCATTTACTACCTATGGTTTTATTTATCCATTTATTGGGCCCCTCTGTGTGTGTTCGCCGTATCAATCTCATTTGACTTCTCTTTCTTCAAAAGAGTTGCGTATATTGTTAATTAGAGTGACGTGTATTGTTTGTTAGAGGTGTCCTCAATGTTAATAGCTCGGTACTGTGTCAATAATATAGAATAAATGTGGAAAAATAATACTCTAGATATGAATTTGTTCGAGATATTTTACAAGGGCGGTGTTATTTTGTTGCAATGACATTTAATTTGACTTCTCTTCCTATATTGCTATGTATGGTAGAAGTAATAAAAAATTGGAAGTAGACTTTTAATTCTTTGATTTGGTCCAGTTTGTTGTGCACAATGATTAAAAAAATAATAAAAAAAAACTAAATAATGTGACACATAGTGAGTAAATTTTAATTTAAAATCAATAAACATGGGTCAAAAAATAACATTATCCTTTTCTTTCTAGGGGGTGTAAGTATCAATGGGATATCGAATAACTAACTTCCTTCTTGAGCATTTTATGCCATAAAAATTTCCCTAATGTATCGTATTTAATTTTGCAATAATTAGCCAAATAGCCATCCTTTACACCTTCCAGCAATTGAACACAACAATCGAGAGGCCAGAATGAGGAATTTGAAAGATGGGAGTTCAGGTCTAGCTCCTCTGTTGTACAGTAGGAGATGTTTTCAAAATGACGTTATTTTGAGAAACAACACCTCTGTTGTATAAGAAGAGTTGTGCCGGTGGAAGTTCCCCAAGAGAACCAAATACATGAACATAACATCATATTTTTCCTTTTTTTGAAGTTAGAAAAGGAATGTTTGGAACAGATGGAGTCAATCAAGGGAAAGTGTTAGTGTAACAATTGACATAAATCCCCCATCCCAGGCCTCTCCACAAGCGAAGAAGAATGGTTTCCCATCCTATGCCCATAGAAAGGAGAAAAGTGTGTGATGGTTCAATGAACCATTTGAAAACCCGACATGTCAATTCCCTCTACAAGAAAGGAAAATCTATATATATAATATAACTTGGAAGAAGAATGGACAAATGCACATTATCAAGATTCAAGAAAGCAGTATGCACACCCATTAACTCTTTCTCCAAGGTTATGATTGACTTACTGTTTTCAGAATCTATATTATATATATGCCATGGTTTTTTGCTTAGTTCAAACTCTGACAAAATCTCAGAACCTTCTCTCAAGTAGATCCACTGAACGAAGATCTTACAAGCTTTCATTTTTTGTTTGTTTGAGGTCTATGTATTAGAAAGAAGTTGGATTTTTTTATCATTGAATGAAAGGTGCCCTTTTTTCTGACATGGAAAGAAACTGAGGGGCAAGACTACCAAAAACTGGATGTTAAGCTTAGATTTTGTGTTATTGATCTTGGAAATAATAAAACATTGAATACTTTAAATGGGTCATACTCTCATTAGTAGAAAATAGGAAATATCGTATCGAGAAACAATTAATTTTTTGGTATTATAGTTTGACCAAACTTGCAACAATGAAATTACAGTAGAGGTATGGAACCGAAACTGTTGGGATATTAAGAAGTGAGCCAACATTATTGTACTGCAGAAGGCATTGGCTTGTCTCAGGCAGAGATGGCCACAACAGTGCCATAGATCCATGTGGGAGAGGATCGAAAGATTGTGTTGCGTCGTTAAGAGCCCCCCCCCCCCCCCCCCTCTCCCGGGGAGGTAACTGTGTCTTAATAATTTTGAGGGGTGCATGAATTTTTCAAGTGAAAGCAGAGATGTTGAATCCAACTGGTTTGGACTTTGGTTCGCTCCAAGTTCGACTGCACATATAGTCTTCAAACTATAATTTTTATGTCAATTAAATCCTAATTATTTTTTTTTGTGTCAATTAAATTTCTGAACTTTCTAAGTAGGTTAACTAAATCCTTTTGTCTACCTCCGTTAGAATATGCCACTCATGTGCCTATATGACACAAAAATATAAAAATCTCAATTAACACAAAAAAAAAATTAGGTAGTTAATTGACACAAGAGTTATAGTTTGAGAATGTATTACCAAAATACAACACTTTTCAAACAAATATACCGATCTACCGCACTTTTAAACTTATTTACCGATCTACTACAATTTTTAAAAATGGAATCAACAATTCCACTTTTAAAAACGGCCATAAATCAATAAATAAGTTTAAAAGTGCAGTAAAATGATATTTTTGTTTTAAAAGTGCATTATTTTGGTAATAACTTACACAATTTGAGGGCTACATATGTATAGTTTACTCCAACCATTTGTGTCACATTAGTAGCACACTTCATTACTTTCTGTTAATAAATCTATCAGAGGCAGACATAAGAGCTTAATTAGCACAATTAGAGAGTTGAATGACTCAATTGCCATAAAAAAAAAAAGTTAAAGGACTCAATTAACATAAAGATCATAATTTGAGGGATATATGTGCTATTTACTTAAAAATTTAACTCTTCAAATTTCAAGTGTTACTGAGCATGTATTGTTAGGATATACAAGCTTGATTGAATTGAGCTAAACTACAACATACGATTTGAAAATAAAGTGCTTGAACATGTATCTAAGTTTGCAATTATTCAAAATTTACTCTCGCAAGGATGTGTGAGATGTGTCCAAAGCGGCTTTCTCAACGAATAATTAATAATAATACCATAAGTAGGAAGATAAAAATTCAAGATAGGAAGATAAAGTACAAAGATGTATATCCACGTACCCAAAAAAATTGGATATACATCCTAGGTCCTCCACCGAAAGGCACATCGGGAAACTTGCCTACAGGGATTCGGGTGGTGCGTAAGCATTTAGGAAAGAGCCGATCATCTTCATCAGCGGTAGCAGCTGCTCCATCGGGGCCAATTTCGTTGAAAACGACACGACAATTCGTTATTACAGCAACAGACTGGAATCCAAAGCACCATTCTGCACTGCAAGAGATCATTTCAATGCCTCCAGAGGTACATTTAAGCAGTTTAATCACTATTTTTTTTTATCTTTGAAGGCTTAACATGCAATTTTGTGCTATGAAATTGCAAAAGGTTTTTAACAACTTCAGATTTCTCCTTGCTCTACAAAACTTTGGGATTTTGAGAGGTTGGTAGGACCACACACATTATTTCGCTTTCTCTTAAAAAATTTTTCTTGGTTTTTTTGGAGACATTCATAGATTCAAAATCGTCAAAACTCAAGCAAAAATCTATACCTGTCTTGTCCCATGCTCGCTTGAAAAAAAATCTATAATTGCATAGATTGTTGCTTTATGAGCCTCCCAAATTTCAATAGGTTGACCTTTCCTCCACCGTTTAAAGATACTACACTCAATAGGCAACATTATGCATCGAGTCATAGCACAAAAATTTAAGAAATAAAATACTATAACCAAGTAATAGGCAACAGAGTAATTAAAGTAAGTTGGTCTTTCCTATTACAACTACTCTTACACAAAAACACATACACAATAGTATTACACAAAAACATGCAAACTAGTACATTAAAACATAAACAAACATCCTAATACACCAAAATATACATTGTTAAACACACTAATACACCAAAAAAACATGCACACTAACACACCAAAAGCACGCGCACAAACAAATACATGGATGCACACACCATCACTAAAACCAACACACATACACACCCACACGCTATGATAACAAACACTAATACACTAAAAAAATACTGACACCAACATACCAAAACACACAATCACACTATTACGCAACACACACACCATCATCACGCACACCCACTAATGCACCATCCAAAATATACACACATACACACTAATACACCAAAAAATACACACATTAATACAATTAAACACACATATTCACAAAAATGTATATATTCTATCACATGTAGTGTTAACACAAGCTAATCCGTCACAAACACGGACACTAATATACAATAACACACGCTATTACATGAACACACTAATACATTAAAAAACACACATACATCCCAGCTAATTAGTATATACATTCATATACACAGCGTTAATACATACTAGTATACCAAAAAAACACATACTCCTGCACCAAACTACTAAACACAATAAAACACACTAATAGAGAAACAAAAACTAACAGATACACACTAATATACCAAAAAGAAACACCCCCAAACATACGTTCTGTTCACACACACTAATACACCAAAGAAACATACTCATACACTAATACACCATAGAAATACAGACATACTTACGTTTTGCCCAATGGCGCCAAGGCTTGGGGGGGGGGGGGGGACAAGGCTAGCCAAACCATTGGTGCCCCTCAACTATCACCACCCCCTATATATGCTTTATGGAGGTTTTCCAAAGCGACTTGACTGGACATCTTCTAAATCGATGAAACAAAACGAGAGTCTGGGGCATAGCGCCTGGACTTTGTTGAACACCTTAAGTACATCGCCTTATTTTGAATTCATGGAGTGTCGTAGTGCAAGATGCCACTAACACACGTCAATTTTTGTGCCCCAGTCAATTGGAGTCTGAAAACTAGTGTGTCCTTTTTTTATAACTAGTAAATTTAAAGATCATCAAGAATACGATAATTAAATCAAATTTTTTACTACCAATGAAAATTTTCAAACAACCACCACAATTATTAATAAAACACATTATTAATATTTAAAAATGAAAACTAGAACATCTACTCAAAGATATTCAAAAGAAATAGTCAAGCAGACATGCAAGAAGCTGATCAGTGTGCTCTTCAAAGTGTGTAGAGTTGTGTCACTTGAACCTGAATTACCATAAACAAAACTATCATAGTTCATTCGTATCCAAAGCAACATGGTTTAGGACCATCAAGTTTAAACCAATGTTACTTGGGTATGAGTATATAGTACGACACTTTTTTAGGTACGCGGTACGATAGAGATAGGCTTAGCTTGTACGGTATTTTGTGTCGCAATTTATTTTGGACCTCTTATATAGATCGTTTTCACTACTATATAACATTATATATTACAGAACGTTCAAAAACACTAAGTTAGTTACCATTTATCTTATAATTGTGCTTGATTTTTTATTATCTAAAACAATAAATAATAATAAATCTATATACATATAATCAATTAATATATATTTTATATTTGTACTACATGTTCTAAAGAGAATTAATTTAGAGTTAGTAATATAATTTGGGATCGTCCATTATGGTGACATGGATTGCAAACCCACCTTATTTCGGACCAATGTACCCAGATCATGGGTCGTTAAGGGTTTAGTGAATTGTGATAACCATGGTTTAAACATCAGTATCTTTATAGATCGATAATTGCAAGAAATCTTAAGCAAAGGATGTAGATCGAGGATGATAATTAAGAACTTCACGAGAAGAGAAAAAAAAACGCTAACAAAATCAATACCATATAATACCTAAAAAAATCTACACCTTCCACAAGCAACCACTTGGATTGCTGTTTTATGAGCCTCCCAAATTTCAAGACAAAAAATAGAAAGAAAAAAACTTACACAAACATATCTTAAATCAAGCAAAATAATGTTCACTTACAAAAGTTTGCCTAAAAGTAACTTCGTAGCTGGTAGATTACTGCCTTATAAACCTCCCAAAGTTCTACATATTGGTCTCTCATCCATCGTCTTAATATACTGCAATCAATAGGAAATATCTAAGCTCGTGACACAACAGTTAAATGGCATGAAAATTTTACAGAACAAAAAATTATAAAGAAGTAATTGGTAACAGAGGAGTCATATACTATAGATGATGACCTACTAGTTATAGGAAAAGCCAAATCATATTTCTATCAAACCACTCCACCACACATAGACAAACAAACAATTAATAAGAAAAAATATAAATCATAATCATTTTAAATATAAACTATCATATGCACTAAAATATATGCTAAAGAAATGGTCACGTAGACATGAAAAAAAACAAACCAGTATGCCCTACAAAGGTATGCACACATGTTCTCCCTTTCCAAAACTCTAATGTTGTCATAAAAACTTGAATTACGATAGACAACAATACACATAAGTTATTCCTATCCAAAGCACATTTTGATAACCGTTAGAAATCTTAAGCAAAGAATATAAGTTGATCGTTGACATCATAGGAAAGATACTTAAGAACATCAAGGTTCAAGACAAAAAATAAAAGGAAAAATCTAACACAATCATAACCTTAAGCTAACACAAGCAAAATAATGTTCACTTGTAAAAAATTCACCTAAAGTAACTTCGTCACTACATAGATTACTGCCTTGTAAGCCTGCCAAAGTTCAACAAGTTGGTGTCTCCTCCATTGTCTTAATGTACTACATGAAAATTTGAAGGAACAAAAACTGTAAGGAACTAATTGGCAACAAAAGGTCACATACCTCCCCCCTCCCCACAAATAATTATTAAGGAAAAATATAACTCGCAAGTTTTTTAAATAAAAACAATCATACACAATAAAATATATGTAAAGGAAATAGTCATGTAGACAAGCAAGAAAACAAACATGTATGCCCTACGAAGGTATGCACACATATCCCCCTTACCAAAGCTCTAAAATTGTCACCGTAACTTGCATTATCATTTGACAACAATCCACATTAATCATCTATATATAAAGTATAGTTTGATAACTTTAAGAAATCTTAAGCAAAGTACTTAAGTTGATCATTGAGAGATCATAGTGAAGATACTTAATTAATTTAAGTTTCAAGACAAAAAAGAGGAGAAGTATAAAAAAGTTTACAGAATCATACCTCAAATCAAGCAAACTAACGATCACCTGTAAAAAGCTCACCTAAGAGTAATTTCATAACTGCTTAGATTGCTGCCTTATAAGCCTCTCCCAAAGTTCAACAAGTTAGCCTCTACTCTATTGTCTAAATGTACTGCAATCAATAGGGAATATCTAAAATCGTTACACAATAGTTAAATGGCATGAAAATTTTAAGAAACAAAAAAATTCTAAAAAAAGAATTGACAATATAGGAGTCATATACCTTAAATGATGACAAATAGACCAATTATAGGAAAGACCAAACCATATTTCTATCGTCCTCCACAAACAATTACTAAGGAAAAATATAAATCATAACATTTTAAATGAAAACTATCGTATGTAGTAAAATATATACAAAAGAAAGTCACGTAGACATGCAAGAAAATGAACTTGTATACCCTACGAATGTATGCACACATCCTCCCTTTCAGAAGCTCAAAAGTTGAGTCACTAGAACTTGCATTATCATTGACAACAATCCACATCAGTCATTCCTATCCAAAGTATAGTTTGATAACTGTAACAAATCTTAAGCAAAGTACTAAAGTTGATTGTTGAGAGATTATTGGGAAAATACTTAAAAACTTCACGGTTCAAGACAAAAAAGAGAGAAAGTTAAGGAAAAAACTTATACAATCATACCTCAAATCAAGTAAAATAATTTTCAGTTACAAAAAACTCGTCTGAAGGTAACTTTATAACTAGTAGATTACTACCTTGTAAGCCTCCCAAAGTTAGACATGTTGGTCTCTCCTCCGTTGTCTTGATGTATTGTAATCAATATAGAATAACTAACTTTGTGACACAATAGTTAAATGAACAAAAAATTGTAAGGAAGTAATTGGCAATTGAGGAATCATACATCTTAAATGATGAACTGCTAGTTATAGGAATGGTCAAACCATATTTCTATCAACCACCTCCCCCTCACACACAAACAAACAATTACTAAGGCAAAATATAAATCATAATTATTTTAAAAAAAAACTATCATATGCACTAAAATATATGCTAAAGAAATGGTAACGTAAAAATGAAAGAAAACAAACTTGTATGTCCTACGAAGGTATGCACCAATATTCTCCCTTTCCAAAACCTTAAAGTTGTGTCATTAGAATTTGCATTATGATTGACAACAATTCATATTAGTCATTCCTATTCAAAGCATAATTTGATAACTGTGAAACATCTTAAGCAAATTACATAAGCTGATTGTTGAGATCATAGAGAAGA